AAAAATGTAAAACATAAGGAGCTAGTGTATAATAATTAAGATTGTTAAGACGGGTTTTCTAAAAGAGTATCCTTGAGGCATATCTCCGAGATGGTTCTTAGATAAAGTCGCAAAAGGAAAAGTGCGTAACCGACTAATGTGCCAACAGAAGAATGCGCTATACAAACTATAATATTAATATACTTTAATGTTGTCATATTTCGTGAAGAAATGTTTAATTATCCAAAAATGTACATGTACTCATTAATTACTAATTGCTATAAATTTTCGATTTAGAGAAAATAAATTCCATTGCGCACTTTTTGTGCTCAATTTTCTACCCGAAAAAACATTGCCTGGAAGAAACCCTTTACATAATATATATTTTTAATACGTGTAACTTTAATATTAGCTTCACAAATTTGGGCAGATCTGCTTAGTATTTTAAGTCATCTCCATAAAGAAAATAAACGTATACTAGAAGGCAGGTATTACCTAAGGTCTATGATTTGATTGGCTGCTACAGTGATAGTCCAAGAACAGCTGGCGTCGTTAGGGTAAGGTTCCGGGTAGTTGGGTGTGGTTATTGATCCAGCTTGGTCAGTTAGGGTTTGGACGCAACCTAAGATAGAGTTAGAGTAAATTTGTATTAGCCGTATCTGCTAGGTGTTGCACCAGCTTTAAATAGCCACGTCTAATTTTAAATGTTAACACACACACGCACACGCATATATATATATATATATATATATATATATATATATATATATATATATATATATATATATATATATATATATATATATATATATATATATATATATAGGCCTATATATATAGGCCTATATATATATATATATATATATATATATATATATATATATATATATATATATATATATATAGATAGATAGATAGATAGTGTTTTTATTTCAAGTTCTTTCCTTTCCGCAAAAACAACATGCACTCCTAAATCGGACACATAATTTAAATGAACGATAGTTTTCTATATTACCTAGGTCTGCAGCATATCCGTACTGTAGAAACCCTAATGACAGCAACACACAGCTACATTTCACCCATTGTTTACATTTCCACTTTAATGTGAACATTTTATTTATTTCCTCAGTGGAAAAAGTACGCTAGAAATAATACATACGTTGTGACAAAAAAAAAATTCAACAATAAAAGGAAATTTTAAGTTTAAAGTAATATTCATTTTAACAATTTTGAAATGATTTTTTACTGATAGAGACTACTATTTTGCTATCATATATATTATATACACATATATTATATATATATATATATGTATATATATATATATATATATATATATATATATATATATATATATATATATATATATATATATATATATATATATATATATATATATATATATATATATATATATATATATTTATTTATTTATTATATACACATACATACATACATATATATTTATGCATACATATATGTGCATATATATGTATACATATACATACATACATATATATATATATATATATATATATATATATATATATATATATATATATATATATATATATATATATATATATATATATACAACTGTTTAAGTCTATATTTCTTACGTGTTTGAAATCGTGTGCTGCAACACTAGACTAAGTCATATCTATTTGATATTACATTGAACTGAAATCAAATACTAGTTCCGTTGTGGGTTTTTTTTCCATACTAGAGGAGTGTCAGCATATTGGTCTGTAGGGGGCCTGTCCACGCCTCAGTAAGAATGAAATGAACAAAGAGAGAAATTACCCAAGATTTATAGGGGGCTACGAGGAAGCTATTTTTTATGACGTTCGTGTTGCCCCTAGCTCCTAGACAATGACATTTTAAACAACTATATGTTAGCTCAAGGTGACTTTATGTAGATTTCTTTCTGAATAGATTAAAACAAACGGAATATGCCAATATATGCATATATATATATATATATATATATATATATATATATATATATATATATATATATATATATATATATATATATATATATATATATATATATTTCTTTTTGGTACTTCAAAAAATATGAAAAGAAGTATGAAATTTAGAAAAATGAATACACAAACTTCGTGATCTAGTGGTAGTGACCGCGTTTGCTAACCCGAGATCATAGGACCTGGACATTACCCCCTGTCAATTAAACCGCGGTCATACCCTCCACACCCACAATATTATGTAAGAAATAATCAACCCTAATCAATTCACTACGTATATTTATCAGTAGTCATTACTCACCATGTCGATTTCATATTGAAAATATAATACATTTAATCCCTACATGAAATGTAACTTGAATCAACTGATGACGTCACAGTTAGGGCCAAAGTTAGTGACGTCACACTATCTGACCCCCCCCCCCCTCTCCAGTGTTTCTTCCAGACTTTTTTCTCCGGGGGGGGGGCACTTAAAATTTTCGGGGGGGGGGGGCGGTAGACTTTCTTCGTGGGGGGGACACTGTTAAAGGTATATATTTTCTATATAAATTATATAAATTTCATTTCGTTCGGGGGGGGGGGGGGGGAGGGCGGTTGAATTTATTCCGGGGGGGGGGGGGGGGTTGGGCTTCGATCTGGAAGAAACTCTGCCCCCCTCCCCCCACCCCCACTCCCCCTCAGCACACAAAGCCACACGTACGCCTACCATTAAATTATTTTCAACCTACCCCTATCATAATATATTCCTTGAAAGCAAACTCTCATTGTTTGTCTCCAATCTAGCACGGTATGGCGTAGTTCCAGAATGGTTAATTAATTTCTAGACTATACACTCCGTAGCAGATACAAAAAGAAAGGTTGCCCATGCATGGAGAGCCGAGACCATGTTCAGCGTGTGTGGGTGGTGTTCGGGACACCACATGGGGCGGGATAATATTAGGCCTAAATCAGTTGAAGTAATTAAATTAATTAAATAGGCACTTTAATATAATTATGTTTTAATGATTTCAAATCTGTCAGACCTAAGGTATATTCAACGTGATCCTGCATAAATGGTCTAGCATTTAATTATGTACGTATTCATTAATACTAGACAGTTCTCTCTCTTACCAATATAATGCTTATAGAATAATTAAAATATAAAAATTTCCTCGAAATCATACTGATAGTTATAAATATCCTATTTCTTTGAAAAATCAAAATAAGGCGTCACCCACGCATTTGATAATGATTTTCACCCCACTCATTCGACTTGGTAATACAATTCTAGATCCGCCCCCCTAAAAATAGGTGCCGTGTGGAATGGTAGGTTTGGATCTCGTTGGTGTCTGACTGCTAGTCTTTACTTGGACTATTTTCTGTACCTTTGTCTACCCTTTCTGTTAATATTGTTAATTCAGTTACAACGCCTGCTTCCACCCCATCTACACGTTTACACCCATTTAAAGGAAGCTACTATTTGTCTGTATCGTTGTCCCGGTATTAGTGTGTGTCGTTTGTGTGGTCGAATAATGGTCCTTGTTGTGTTTATGAAAGCTAGCGGTTTGACCTTTCGGGTCAAGGGTCAAAGCCACCCCACGTCTACCTGCAAAAAAAAAAAAGCTACGACGTGGTCTGCCATGAAAGCCTTATTTTTTTTAGGGCTGATTGGCAGAAGCGGTTACACGTCTGACTTGATGCATGGAAGGCGAAGGTAAATAGGTGCCGTGTGGAATGGTAGCTTCGGATCTCGATGGTGTCTGACTGCTAGCCTTTACTTGCACTATTTTCTGTACTTTTGTCTACCCTTGGCGTTGAAATATCACTTTCTGTTTATATTGCTATTTCAGTTACAAAGCCTGCTTCCGCCCCATCTACCCTAAAAAAAACATCGCACCACAGCACAACCCCCCCCCTTAAAACTGTATTTTTGTTTTCTGATTGAAAAACGGCGATTAATATAAAATATATAATGAACTTTGTCGACATTGAATATATTAATACAATTTTATACCAATTCATACTTTTTTTTAATATTTAAAAAAATAATTAAAAATAACCGCAACATGTGTGTGTATAACACTATATTTAGGATAAGCAATAGTGTATAGTTACACTCTCAACTCCCCCCCCCCTCCCTCCCCTTCCTCTCGACACACATCGTCACGAAAGTCCGAACCACCCATCCCTAATAAAGTGCCAAGTCGCCTTTAGACAACCCCTACATGTCTAATTTACCCACATGAATGTTCTTACGAAACTCAAGGTATTTCGGAATTAAAGTGTAATGTTTTGCACGTTCTAAGACAAATCGAAGTTGCATTTATCTACAGCTGAATTTTTAGATAACATTTTTTTCAATGTTCTTTACTAACAATATTCCATTTCTACCCGAAAAAAAAAGTGTCAAAACATGTACATTCTCGCTTACTAATTTTTGTCTATTCATCTGCAATTAAAATCCACACTTACATCAGCACTCAAAATGTTAACAAAGGTTCCTCTGTACTTGGGCTTGTCGTGACCAAGTATAACATAATCAATGGCAATAACGTAATAGGAACAAGCGTTCAGATTACAGAAAGGTCGATTCAATTCATGCTTCGGTTAATCTTAAGCAAATAACAGCCAATGGGATTCTTACCACTTAATCAATTTAATTTTTTTATATACTTAACACCGCGTTGGTCATACGTTCATTTTACAACGCAATTGATCGTCGACTTTAATGGATTTTTAATAAAAAAATTTTATATCCTTGATTCATAAAGACAACGTGTTTTGTGTATGACATATACAAAGAGTCATTTGGTTTGTCCAAAATTAAAGTCGATAGATAGGCCTACTTTAAATAGATATTTTACATGCCTGAATAATCAATCAGGTACGCAAGATTTTTAGCGGGTACATCTATTTATGATTGTTTAATAAGACAAGTTGATCTATGAATAAAGCTTACAGCCTATCCAGCTTATGTGTTGAAATGGTGAATCATAAATAAATATTTAAAAAGTGCTAACTGTAATTGAACTGTTCAATCATTTTCTCAGATGTGCCATCGTCTACTCTACTGACTGTTCAATCGTCTACTTATCTTTACCATCGTAACTCTATGTACAAAACATCTACTGTACCATCGTCTACTCTAATGTAGTATACACAACGTACTCAGCCGTTGTCTACTTAGTTTAACAATCGTCTACTGCACCACCTTTTACGTCCTGGTTAGTTTCAACTCAAAAACGACTCAGGTTTACGTTCGATAATTTTATTCGGTCTCAAATATTCACATTCCAGAGTAGCCCTCGTCCTAACCGCTACCAACTAACCCCTGACAATCATTCACTCCAGCTTTTATACCGCATTCGAACTTGGGATAACAAGACATAAACACAACGGGGTTAACAATATTCTAGGATAAACTCAACTCACACAGACACTCTCCCCTAATTCTAGATTATTCTAACCTATTTCTGTCTAACCTACAACTGACCGGTAACACCACCGTTTACTTAGATTTACCATGGCCCACTCTGTTATACCACCGTCGACTTAGATTTACCATCGTCTACTGAACTATACCAAAGTCTACTTAACTGTACGATCGCCTACTCTATCGTACTATCATCTTCTTAACTTTACCATCGTCAACTCTACTGTACCACAATGTACTAAGCTTTACTATCGTCTACTACTTCACACCTTCAAAAAACATTTATTAATTTCTATTTAAAACTGTGTGCGTTTATGTGGCCTAGTAAAGAATTCTTCAAACGTATACTGATCGGTATATTTGAAACCCGGATTTGAACTTGAGCCTATCGGGTTTCCTATCACTCTACCGCTAGGTCACGTCGCCCTGTTTAGTTTTATAGCCTTTAAACAATATGGTACAGACATTTGATCCTTTCTCAGAGAGCTATGCCCTTCTTTATAAACTATTAGTGGGCATGCTAAAAATTGTGCTGAAAAGGAATATAAATCCGGTAATGGCGTATGTTTTAGGTTATCTGTGTTTTACCACTGCGGGGATTTTGCCTCACGCGGTTTTTCCAGATGTAGTTTGTTTTTATAATAATGATTTTAGACATTATTTTTATTTATTTTAAATTCTTG